AGGACAATTGGAAACCCATAGGACAGGTCTACTCTGCCGCCAGGCGGGCCACTGGGAGCTGGAAAGGACTCGAGGACAATGGGATTGTTTCGGTTTTCATTTCTATTGCATCTGAAGTTTTCCTCTAAATGGCATTTAAAGTTCACACAATTTTGGATTGATATTAGAAAGCAAGAGTCAGGTTTTTGACCACAGGATTAACTGTGAATAATCTAGGGTTTACTAGTGGAAGAACTGCATGTAGACCCAATTTTCTGTTTCACAAACCAACAGTTTAACTTTAGATGGGAAAAAACAAGTATATAAGTTATTATAAGTGATTTATCAAATACAATTTGAAACAAAAATTCTACCTAAAACAAACAATCCCAGTTCGGTCCTCACCTAAGGGAAGTTGTTTCCAGTATTTGAAAATAATTACTTATAAAAGTTATAACGAAATTAAGATACAACAATTTGTCTCTTTTTGTCCAAAGCACAAAAGAGTGAAGAAAATCAAAGACCCAGGGAAACAATTAGTCCAAATGAGTACTGGATCACATGACCCACAGCCTCCACTACGCCATGACCAGAAGAATAGATACTAGCTGGTTACCACCATTCACCCATCTGACCAGAAGCACAATTTAGTTGAGCCAGAGAAGGAGAAAAATGTGGCACAAAATTCAAAATCATACAAAAGACCAGACTTACTGGTTTGACAGATACTGGTGGAACCCTCAAGACTGTGGTCCTTACACATCCCTCAAACCTGGAACTGAACCCACCACAGGATCACCTTAGCGTCAAACAATGTTGTTGTTAGGGTTAAGTGCTGTCGAGTCAGTTCCAACTCATAGCAACCCTGTATAGGGTTTCTGAGGAGCAGCTGGTGGGTTTGAACTGCTGACCTTATGGTTCACAGTACAGTACTGAACCTATAGTGCCACACCAGAAGTCCAGAGTGAAACAATAGACAGGCCTATAAAGTGAATAATAACTGTCAGAAATATGCTCCTCAGAACAATTAACCCTATGAGAAAAGAACTGCATTGGCTTCAAAATCAAGTTTAGAAGACAAGAAGAGGTGGGAAAGGTGGGCAAATAGAAGCGGGGAATCCAGGGTGTTGTTATATTGAGGACATGTCAAGAAACAAAATGTGTACTAGTGGTTGGATGGAAAATTAATTTGCTATGTAAACTTTCACCTAAAGCATAATTAAAATGAAAATAAGTAACAGCAAATCACCTGTTAAACAGTTTCCATGTTTCATAGAAAAAAAATTAACCAAATATTCAGAATAAATATATTTCTTGCCAGGCTGACAATAGAAATAATAATAAGATACTTTTTTTTTCTAATAAATAAGAGTGTATAGAAAAAAATCTTACTTGCTGCCAAATTTTATCATTTCAATGTTTTTGTCCAACTCTAACAGAGGGCAGAAGAGAAAAAAATATATGAAATATTATGTCGACTCTGAACCGACTCCACGACACATAACAACAACAACATGTCAAATCTAGTTCTAGACCACAGACTGATAATTTGGAGTAAGGAGTCCTGGTGTGGCGCTGTAAGATAAGTACTGGACCATAAAGTC